AATATTTTACATTGTTTTACGGGTTGGGGAGTAATGAAATGAAAACATTTAATTAAATTTATAAGGAATTGTTTACCTCCACCTGAAATTCATCTGTGAAAAACTAATGTTTAAACATTAAAAAAAAATTTTAAAAAACTTACCGATTCTGTAGGAGACTTAGGTTCGATACTGCAAGATTTTTCGCAGGACCAAAATGTTATTGCAAATGGTGATTCATCGAATAAAAACTCACAAAAATAACACTGAGTTTCTGCATTTTTAAAAAATTCACAATTTAATGAATTGTCATCATTTGTAACACTTAATTCAGACACTAATTCTGATTCTTTATCAAAGGACATCACTTATAAAATTACTAAAATTTAAATTACAAGAAATAAAAATTTATTTTAAAAAATTATTTAAATAATTCCCCTTTTTTTTTTAAAAAAAACTTGATCAGATATTTTAAAAAAATTAAAATAATTATGTCGTTTATTAATTTTTAACTTAAAATAATTACTTAATTTCATTAAAAAGAAAGAATTTTCAAAAAAAAAAAAAAAACAATTTTTTAAGCAAAATCTTTTAATTATATAAATCTCTTTTTTAAACGTAATCGCAAAATACGGTTATAAAATATTACATGTAATTAATTTTCAGATAACAGGTAAGTAGCACGCGACTAACCTAAGCTTGTCAAATTAATTAAAAGATAATAATTTAAATAATTTTCTTATTGTTGATTTATTACGCTTTGAGTAAAACTTATTTTAAATTTAAATTTAATAAAAAAATCAGATTTTCCCTAAAAAAATAAAATGCTTTTAAAATAATTACATCACATTTATTCTTACATTTTATAATGCAAAATTTAAAAGTAAACACTTTGTATTGTGTATTGCCAACTTCGACAAATAATTTTTTCATTGCCAACCATTGATTATTAAATTCATTTCAGGAACGAAACGTTTAATTTAGTTTTACGTATTTAGGCATTGTAATATATAAAAGTCACAAAAAAAAGGATTTCAGTTATAAATTTCCTAATTTTAAAAAATTTAATTTGATAAATTAATGCAATTACCAATAATTAAAATTATTAACTCAGTTATAGAGAGTTATTAAACTTTTTAATAAAATATTTTTCAAAAATTCTACCGTTTCAGGAATTAACAATTTTTAATGAAATCAACGTTTTATTAATTATTATTTACTTTATTATAAAATACATCCAGATTGTTTTAACATTTCAACGTCTAAAAGTCCTAAATTAACGAGACCGACAATTGCGGCACTTTGTTCGGCCCACCTTTTGTTTTTTTCCCAATAACTGGATCCGTAATTTTTACCATTGACTGTGACGATAGATTGAAATAATTTATCTTCTTGAGTCGTTGTATATTTCGGTGGTTCCAAATTACGATGTCTTGCCCAAGTTAAAAGTTTAGTTTTTGGAAGGTCGTTGTCTGAGGGAAAAATACTTCTGAGAAACGCACAGGAAACTCTTATAACGTCTTTGTCTTCTTCTAATTTAGCTTTTTTCAACCTCGGCTCACAATTAAATGAAGGCTCAACATCACGACGACTTTTAAAACCCAATTCCCTTAATAATTTTTGTTTTTCCCTACAATATGAATCCAAATCCCATATTGCGCTAGAAAAAATTTAATATTTATACTTTTAGTTTTAAAAAAAATAATTAATTTTTTAAGTAATTTTTTTATTTACTCAAAATTTTAAGTCTTTGACTAACCTAATTTGTTCCATAGTTTGAGCTTCTAAAAATTTTTTCCCCCTAGGAGTTTCTTGTAATTCTTTTAAAATATTTTGAATGCAATATTTTGAATTAGCAGGACTGTTATCATAATCTATAGCATATTTTAAATATTGCTTAATTATTGTATCAATATCGACTTTTCCTTTATTTGAAAATACAGAGCAATTCCATTCGGCTGCCCTAGCCAACATAATACTAGAACATCCAGTCGCTTCTTTAAATTTCAAAATATCATTATAATTGTCTATTTCTTTAGAACCTCCACTGAAAAAAAAATAAATAAATAAATAAATATATTACATGCTTTTAATTTTAAAAATACAAAATCAAAAATAGTAATTTATTAACTTTGCAATAACAGGGATTTTTAAAACTTCAGCAACAGCTTTTATTATATCGTTTTTGTTTGGATGTTGTGGGCGCTCATCTTTGGTTCTTCCATGTATTGCAATCGCTGCAATTCCTGTTTTTTCTAGCCTTTGACATAATTCTATTGTTTTATTTTTATCTTTTAAAACTCTGACTTTACATGTAACTGGTATCTTTAAGTTATTAACCAATTTTTCAAGTATTTCTACTGCTTTATCTGGTTTATCTAATAATGCTGCACCCATTCCACCTTTTATGGAGAATTCTTTCGGGCAGCCCATATTAATATCAATGCCTGCAACATCATTTTCACTGGAAAAAAAAAAAAAAACTTTTTCATTAACATTTGTGAGAAAAAAAATTACTATCTTATAAAATTAATTTTAATCATAATTTATTAAATTATTATAATTTACTATGTTCTATTCTTTTAAACATACACTAATTTTCCTACTTTTAATGCTCTCTCAGGATCATTCGTTCCAAGTTGAAGAATGACTTTGCCTTTCTCTTTTTTACATGTTCTAAATATGATTGTTCCATCTGTTTGATCTATGAAATCAACTGTTTCTAGTACCTCTAAGAATACAAAATATTTAAAAATTAGATTCATTTCTCTAATAATAATCAAAAACGTTTTTGGATCACCTTATTTATTGAGTACCATTTTCTTT